GGGAGGGGGTGTATAAACAAGGCGGTTTATGGGGCCTGATAAAAGGGGATATCAGGGAAGAGATAGGCAAGGAGGAGAGAAGGGGAGGGGGTGTATAAACAAGGCGGTTTATGGGGCCTGATAAAAGGGGATATCAGGGAAGAGATAGGCAAGGAGGAGAGAAGGGGAGGGGGTGTATAAACAAGGCGGTTTATGGGGCCTGATAAAAGGGGATATCAGGGAAGAGATAGGCAAGGAGGAGAGAAGGGGAGGGGGTGTATAAACAAGGCGGTTTATGGGGCCTGATAAAAGGGGATATCAGGGAAGAGATAGAGAAGGAGGAGAGAAGGGGGAGGGGTGTATAAACAAGGCAGTTTATGGGGCCTGATAAAAGGGGATATCAGGGAAGAGATAGAGAAGGAGGAGAGAGGGGGAGGGGGTGTATAAACAAGGCAGTTTATGGGCCTGATAAAAGGGGATATCAGGGAAGAGATAGAGAAGGAGGAGAGANTTGAACCCGGGGGTAACATGTGAAAGTGTAGTGTGATCGTCCGGGTGAGTGTAGTCCTGAGAAGGACTGTTGTCGGTGGTAGTGACTGACGTTTCGACAACCTGTGCGGAAGTCATCATCAGAGTCAAGTGAATAGTTGTTGTCAGTAGAATGTTCTTATTTCAGTTCGTGTAAAATGATTGGTCAGTTTTGCCGTGATGTTATTGACTGTAAGACTCAAGCGGCGTAAGTCGGTCGTGATTGATCTGTTTCGATCCGTCGGTAAAGTTAAGTCGTTCTGTTCGGTTCGTTTGTAATGTTTATGACGTGAATGAGTCGTTTGTATGGAGCCGGTAGTAGTTGACACCTGTTTAGGGGAGTCTGTTTTAAGTCAGTTGACCAGCTTTCCAGAGTCAGTCGTTGAAAGTAGTCAGTGTTGTAGTTTAGGCATTGCGCAGAGTCCCAGTCATTGTTGTGGTTCGTAAGTCGATGATGTTCAGCAATGTAATTGTTGAAATCACCTTTCCTGGTCGCCCGTCTGTGTTCAGTCAGTCTTGTTGCGAGGTTTCTGCCAGTCTCTCCGATGTAGGAGGGTTGGCGGTCCGAGCAACTGATCCTATAAATCGCTCCCTGTCTGGTCCTCGGTTCGTCCTTGTCTTTTAACGTTGATTAGTATCTGACGTAGTGTGGTGATGGGTTTGCGAGCGACGCGGATATTGAAGGGTTGTAAGATGCGCGAGATGTTCTCAGACATGCCTTTTATGTACAGTATGGTTGCTTTAGTCGTAGGAGTTGCGGTGTCGTTTGTTTCGGTAGGGGTAGTGGGTCTGCGAGTGTTTCGTCGGATGAAGCCGTCGTTGTAGTTGTTCTTTGAAAAAGCACGGTGAAGGTATTTGTTCTCGCCGGATAAGCTGTCTATCGAGTCGCATACTTGTTGCGCGCGTCGTGTTAGAGTTCTGATAGTTGTGGCTTTGTGTGAAGTAGGGTTGTAGGATGTCTCGTCTAGTAATCTGTCGGTGTGTCAATTGCTCCGACTGCCAAGCCTCCTACATCGGAGAGACTGGTAGAAACCTCGCAACAAGACTGACTGAACACAGACGGGCGTTAAGGAAAGGTGAGATCAACAATTACATTGCTGAACATCATCGACTTACGAACCACAATATTGACTGGGACTCTGCGCAATGCCTAACCTACAACACTGACTACTTTCAACGACTGACTCTGGAAAGCTGGTCTACTGACTTAGAACAGACTCCCCTAAACAGGTGTAAACTACTACCGGTTCCATACAAACGACTCATTCACGACATAAACATTACAAACGAACCGAACAGAACGGCCTAACTTTACCGACGGATCGAAACAGACCAATCACGACCGACTTACTCCGCTTGAGTCTTACAGCCAATAATATCACGGCAAAACTGACCAATCATTTTACACTAACTGAAATAAGAGCATTCTACTGACAACAACTATTCACTTGACTCTGATGATGACTTCCGCCCAGGTTGTCGAAACGTCAGTCACTACCACCGACAACAGTCCTTCTCAGGACTACACTCACCCGGACGATCACACTACACTTTCACTTGTTACCCCTGGGCTCAAGCCATTTACTGAAATTTTATTATTTGTACCTGTTGAATTGTTATCACCTGAATCCGGTCTTTCTTCAAATGAAATTTCCCCTTCATTCGCGTCTAAAAGTAACATGGGGGCAAGGCTTTTGTTTTTATTTCTGGCTTGACGTTTGATCATGAGTCTTTCAGATAAATCTTAATATCAACGAATTTAATACCTAGAAAGAGACAGCCTGTGTACAGTACTTAGGAGTGAGCAGAGTTTGCGCCATTTACACAATAAAACTCGCGTTACAAAAAACTTTGGATTTGGAGAAACTCAATTTTATCTACTAAATTTTCAAACTGCCAACGTTATTGTTATTAAACTAACGCAAAAATGTTGTTCTTTTAATAAGACTTTCTAGAATAATGAGTACAACAGGTTACAAGCCGATAAAGAAATTCAACTTTGATCGGATTGAAAATTTCCCTCTCTATACCCTCGAGGCTTAGCAATTTGGTAGATTTTCCACCCTTTCAATAATGTTAGCTTCACTTTGAAGACTTAGATGAGATTTACAAGGTTGATTTGGGGCTTCACTTTTTTTCTGGGCTAAATATCACTGAAGTTCAGTCTGGAACAGTCTTTATCCCCGATAACTCTATCGTTCTTTACCATAATTTCTTTCCAGGGAGGGATTCACTTTCCATGCACTCTTTATGCACTCAAATTGTCTTAGTCCTTTCAAATAAGAATTTAGCTACACATAACTTGGCTCAGCAAGGAAGTTCTTCTTCCCACCTGATGCAATATTTTTCTTAATGTCCTGCTGTCCTTTGGCTGATGCGACTTCATCCTCCTCCGTGACTGAAAATATCATGAAATAAATCATGTTTCGTGTTTATTAGTGATTCGAAACTTAATGTTAGTAACTACTGACTTTAAGTGTTCTTCTAATTCTTGTGCAAACCTTGCTTAGTTAAATTGTATTTAAGGATCTATTCAAAAGGCTGAAGGTGTTCTCTGTGAGAAATATTTAAACAATAGAGTGTTTCTGTCGAGGAACTATCGGCTGACAGTTGCCCCGCGGAAGTTTGATGTTCTTAAAACAAATATTTCCTCGAGAAGCGAAGCTTCGAGGGCAAATATGCTAGTTTTAAGAACATCAAATTTCCAAGGGGCAACTATCAGACCGATAGTTCCGAGACATAAACACTCTATTGTTTTTATTGTTCACCACTAAATTTTCTTCCGCGCCTACAGCTTGTCACAAATGTCAATAATTCGCAACCGTACATTGGCTAAATAAAACGTTATACCTGTCAGAATTGAAAAGTCACTATTTTTCCGATCTGCCTAACTTCGCGGCGGTCAAACTATTCAAAACTTTTCACGGATGAGTACTATTACTCCAGGTATTTTCTGCAGACGGGCACTACCCATCCGGGTATTTTCCGCGGGCGGGCACTATGGGCTGATAGTGTCTCTCCACGAATGAACACTATCACGTCACGTGATCGATTTAAACCAATAAGAACCGGAGAAAATTTAATGGTGAAGTATAATGATCAGTAGGTTATAGTTGTCATCAGGTTATGCCTAAGTGATATTACATGGTATCTTGACCTCATTTCTTATTTTTTTTTTTTTTATTATTTTTTTTTTTCTAACAACTGTCACATACTTCCTCAAAAAAGGGCATCAGTTTGAAAAGAAAATTATAAAGCTATTTACGTTCGTCTGTTGGTTTTCCTACCTAAACTAAGTTCGTGTTTAAAATCCGGTTTTCCCTCGGTCGGTGAAATTTGATTTTCGGCCATGGCTAGAATATGAAGAATGAAAATGTTCAGTGTTTTGTTACATTTGTTTTCTTAACCGAGAAGATGAATAAATGAAACTGAGAGCTATAGGTCATGAAGAAAAGAATTGTATTCGATTGTATTGTTGTAGTCCTCACCTGACGAACTGTTATTTTCAATGTTCAGTTTTCCTTTAGCTGTTTTCGATTCATCTTTCTCTGCGACCGAAAGTACAAAGTAATATATCATTCTTTTTAATCAACGATAAGAAACTTCATGGTCAGTGTTTTGTGACAATGACCATTGTTATTTTTGTTCATATTCCTGTATAAAATTGAGGCTGGATTTATCATTTTAAGTTCTGATTTTTTCCACAAAGCTGACACTGTTTTAGAAATTTTTATTTAAAGAACAGAAAGGATATTGCCAGGTTCGAGTTATCAACAGCTAAGAAAGTTGTTACTTTGAATTAATTTAATTTTTTTTTTTTTATTTTGTAACACAAGTGTCATGCTCAGTCATCTTCGTTGTTAGATGAAAACCGCGAAGTTATTTCTGTAATTTCTGCAGGTTTTTTACCTAAGCAAATTAAGTTCATTAATACTGATAATTGTACTGAGTGGAGTGCAATTTGTATTGGTAATCACATGTTTCGGGTGCAATTTTGGATAAATCAGCGAATGCGTAAATATTTCATAGTCTAACCATGGCCAAAAGGAGAAGAAGAAAGAATTCGGTTTTGCGTTTATTTTCAGCTTCCTAAACTGAAAAGAAATGAGTGATACTGAAAGCTAAAGGTAAGACAAGACATGAAATGATAAAGAATTACCACGGAAATTGAAGTTATAAAGAATTGTTATGGAAACTGAAGTTTGTATTTATAGCGCGCGTTACCCAATGGACTTTGGGTGGAGGTGATCATTCATCTGTGTGGGATTATAAAAATGACCGTATTATTTTGCCTGAAGTCTAAATCCTTACTGGTTTTGGACAAACTCTCAAATTCACGACAGACGACAGACAGACGGACGGCTACGACAGACGGTATACCAAAAATGCATACATAAGTAATTATGAAACTCTTACGTCATTTCTTCAACCAAGTATTGAGAAATAAAAATTGGAAAGTTCGTTTCCTTGCGCATCATCTAGCAAATTTAAATGTAATGATGATCAGTTTCGCTAAAGATTTCAGAAAGGAAATAAAAAAAGTGATAAAAAACGTTTCATGACGTTAAGACGACGATATGTATGTGGAAAATACGCAAATGTAAAAAAAAGGAAAAACGCAGGTACTACTGAAAGCAAAAAGTTTCCTTCGAATAGAGTCCATTGTAGTGAAAAGCTAAGGTTTTTTCTTTCTAATCACGAGCATGTCTAAAATTAGAAACTTAGTATTTCTGTGGCAAATTTGATTTTCGTGACATTTTATTTTCAATACCTAAAGGCCTTGAGACTTGGTTTATTAACTGTAATTTGGTTAGTTTTTTGTGATTTGTATAAGCTGCATTTCGGTCCCAAAGCTTTGAGCCTCCTAGAAATACAGTGTTTAAGGTTTCGCATTTCGAAGAAGACCATTAAAAAGTTGCTTGGCTAAATCTCTGTATCAAAGTAATTGAACCGTAAGGGTATCCATCACGATCATGGCTTATGCCGGATTTACTAGTACCTTAGAACGGAGGCTCCCGATGGAGCTCATTCGGTTTTGTTCAATTTGAGTTTTCAGTGACGAATTGAGTTACACACTCCTTAGAACTTCTTCCTACCTGACAAACTGGTACTTTTGTTGTCCAATTTTTCATCATCAGCCGTTGTGACTTCATCTTTTTCCGTGACTGAAAATATCAAGAAGCTGAGTAAAATTTTCATTAACTAGCTTGAAGAAATTAACGTTTGGTTCGTAACATTGTCTTTATGAATTCTTCAAATTCCAATGCAAACCTTGGTTAGGAGTGTTTTCAGATTTAAAATGTATTCAGAAGACTTGGCCTAATTACATTATTTTGGTCGTTCTCTTTTTCTTACTCAGTTGTTTCACTCAGTCATCTTGCAGGTCACTAACATGCGGGAAAAGACTCTAAGTAATGTAAATTCGCCTTGGTTTTCTAACCTGAACAAAGATCATCATAATCAAAACCTGATTTTGTTTCGGGTGGGGAAACTTTACTTTCGGTCAAGGCTGAAAAGGGTAACAAAAAAGCAACTTCATAGCGTTTGTAAGAGGGTTTGTTTTCTGTAAACAATATAAATTAAAGCAAAGGGTGTCGCATAAAACTAATCAGAAATGTAAAGAAGAATCATTGGGTGTGTCGTAAAGCGAATTTTACAATTTAAAAGACGAATTATATCGTCATTTCAACATCCAATGGACGATAACACTTTTTCTCGCGTTTCATAAGATTTTTAAAAATTTTACATTTTGTCGTTGAAGAAGAAAAACTTTCAATTTCATTATTTTTTAGCGAGAGATGGCGTGATTCATACAAAGGAGAGTTTCATGCTAAATTTTAATCATCATATCATAGGCGTCTTTCCAGTCATTGGTTTTTCCCCGCGTGCTTGAAAGAGTCACTGAACATATTGCAATACAGACTACTACGCCTTATTATTGCGTTTGTTTTCGCCCACCTGCAGAAAGTTCTTGATTAACATTCCCTTCTTCTTCGGGCGGCGAACCTTTATCTTCAGCCATACCTATTAAATGGACATAAATGAAACTCCTCCAGTTTTGTTTAGTGTCACACAAATATATATATTTTTTTAACAGTAAGGTTCTAATGAATAAAAGTAAAGGTCAGTTGGTGGTTCCTTCAAAACATCTCGTAAGCCGCCATTACACCTTCCCCGAGTAGAATTATTACTTGTTATCATTTCAAAGATAAGTTTGTTCACGAAACTGAATCTTATTTTTCGCTGCGCGTTATTCAAGCATGATGAAAAATGTTTGGAAAAGATGGAAAAGTTTACATGGTATTACGTAGACATGAAAATGGTTTACAGTCTAGAAATGTTCTGAACATTTTAGCCGGTAGAAAAGCTATGGAAAATTTTAAATTAGTTTGGTATTTTCTCAAAATATTAATTCTCGCCGAGACCGTCTGTAACTCCGCCTGCCTAAGCACATGAATTATGTTCAGCAAAAAATTTAAAGTACAATGAATATAATAAACAAGTGAGTGAAAAACGCGAGTTCTCACCTCAGAATTTAGGCTAGAAATTCCATCGATCGAGTAGCCAGACGTAACTAAATATAATGAGCTCAGAATCAAAACTGCTTTAGTTGAGCAGCGACTGCAAGAAGAGCAGTTGGAGGAAAGTGGAATAAGAGTTTTATAGTAGTAGCGAGCTGGAAACGGAAAGGCTCAGATGTTATGTTTCATTTTTCATCGGTCATCGGTATTTTTTATGCCGCAAGATCTAGAATATTTCTCTTTTGCAGACTAGAAACATCTCTGGCAGAACCGAAAACTCACCTAAACCTTCGACGATAGAAATTATTTGTGTTATCTTCTCTTCCACTTCTCCATTACGTTATGAAGACGTGCACTCGATCATGTTTTTACGTAACGTCTTGGGGTATTTCGTTTTCGACTCGAGTAAGCAACGAAGAAGTCATTGAATGGGATTATGTTCCCACAATATTGAGTGACAGGGTTTGATCAAAATAGCACTATCCTTGGAAACCGTTTTGTTCTGTTTTGTGTGACATACTCTGGAATTGTCGGCATTCTGTGTCATTCGGCCACGAGACACGTGTTAGACGCAAGCATAGCCAGATCGAAGGATTGTCGAAATAGTATAGAACGGGGAAAGAGGTATGTCATCTTACTTATTTTTGTATTAATAAACCGAAACGTGTATAACCCAAGATAGTTTTGTTTCGCTTAAGATATTTGTGTTGTTTTGATTTACCTTAACTCGAACACGGGTTAGGGTTAGGGTTAAACAAATCAAAAGGGCGTTGAACGTCACGCAAGTCACAACAAAAAAATAGCCTTCGTTACATGGCTCCCCTAAATTACGATAGAAATTTACACGAACTAGAACTTAATCAGCTATTAAAACTTAACTATTTAAATCAATGTCTCTCGATATGGACTGTAAGCTCGTACATTTCTCATGGCTACTCAGCTGCATGGGGATCCCCGGTCTTCGTTCTCCTCGCAGGGGCAACAGCAATATTAATATTAATATTAATATTAATTTCTAAACTGGTTCACATAGACTAGTCACTGGTCTAACAGGTCGTCCGTTATTGTCTAACTTCCGGTCAGCAATTTTGATGCGGACTTTTGCGACAAAACCATCATCGTCAGGGAATGTTTCTTCCACGCGCACGACCTTCCAACAGTTTCTTGAGGAATTATCATCCATAACGACGACAACGTCATCAACCTGCAGGTTTCTTTGAGTGGCTACCCACTTCTGTCTTGGCTGGAGAGACTGCAAGTAGTCATTCCTCCACCTCGTCCAGGACTTGTTGGCAGGGTATTGCACTCTGCGCCATCTTTTCCTTGAGTACAGATCGGCACGCTGGAATTCGCCAGGTGGGGACAATATCACTTTGGACTTTATGGTAAGTAAGTGGTTGGCTGTGAGAGACTCAGGCATCTGTGGAGAGTTTATCGTTTCAATGGTCAGGGGGCGACAGCTGACGATGGCTTCGACCTCTACCATGAAGGTTCTGAGGGTTTTGTCATCAAGCTGGGCAGCGTGCTGTGTGAGAAGTGATGCCAACACATTTCGAACACTACGAATTTGACGCTCCCAGGCCCCACCCATATGATAATTTGGTAATATCAATTGGGTTGAAATTGTAAATTGGCCGCCGTAAAGGGTTAAAAAGCTGACGTTTCGAGCGTTAGCCCTTCGTCAGAGCGAATGAAGGAATTGTGGGTTGTGTGTGGGTTTATATGCGGAAAGTCGAGCTACGCTATTGGTGGGAACATGGCGACCAGAAAAACACGAATAAATTAGTAGAATGAAAAGCTTTCGTTGATACCTGTGGGATTAAGAGGGCCGATTTGAAAGATAAACTTTTGTTCAAGAGTTTTGCGGCTTTCCGAGCTACCTAAATGTAAGGAAAGACCGCAGGTTGTCATATGTTGCTTAGAATGATCAGGTAGATTAAAGTGTATAGCGACTGGTTTTGATGCATCCTTGTCATTCCTTTCTACGTCGCGAAGGTGTTCCCGGAATCGGTCACCTAGTCGTCTTCCTGTTTTGCCGATGTATAACTTTTGCAATAAGTGCAAGTTATGCAATAGATGACGTTGGCTGAGGTGCACGTGAAGTCATCAGTGATCTTAATGGATCGTTTGGGTCCCGATATTTTTTCAGCGTTGTGAACAAAAGGACAAGTTTTGCATCATACGTGAGCGCATTTAAAAGTGCCGGGTTGGTCATTAGTTTGTAATGAACTTCTGCCCAAAAAATTGCCTATGTTTTTGTCGCGTTTGCATGATATGAGTGGAGGTTGCGAAAAGATATTGCCAGTCTCTGGATAGTTTTGAAGTAATTTAAAGTTGTTAAGAATAATGGATTTAACTGAGTGGTTTTGAGGGTGAAATGTGAGAGTGAATGGAATGCGGTCGGACCCACCCGTATGAGAAGCTTCTGAGACAATCATTTTGAAATCTATCCAGTCACAGTTTCTCTTTGTCAGTTCTTGCTGTATCTTCCGTTGTTGGAATGTCAATAACGCCTGTTGCAGCTCATTCTTTGCACCAACAAAGTTCGTACCCTGGTCAGATCGCAACTGTCGCACTGGGCCGCAGCGTCCCACGAATCGGCGATAGGCATTGAGGAATGAATCCGTAGACAGGCTGCTCGTGACTTCGAGGTGGACAGCCCTGGATGCTAGACATGTAAATAGCACCCCATAACGCTTCACTTCACGGCGGCCCTCTCTGACGTATCAGGGACCAAAGTAGTCTACAGCAGAAAAGGTGAAAGGTGGTGCAGGTTCCAGGCAAGGTCCAGGGTAAGTTAGCCATCTTCTGTCCTTTGGGACGACCTCTCAGCTTCCGGTAAGACACACATTTAGAAATACGGTTGGAAACTACGGAACTTCTACCAATGATCCAGTAGCTACTTGATCTGATTTCGTTCTGAGTTCGATGAGACTGATGTTCTACGTCGAACTTAACCGAGTGAAACATGGATTGGATATCGCACATAAAGGCTCTCTGCTCTTGCCGAAATCTGCAAAGAACTCTGGTGAGATTGTTTGTCAAATCTGGGCCCTGGAATAGTTGTTGATTCAGAGATTGGCCAGTGCATAGTGCACTGTAGTCAAACACAACTCTGATCTTTCCCGGTTTCTTCTTATGATACACTTCGTGAAGTGGAATGTACCACACTTGTTTGCTAGTTGTCGATATCTTCTTAATGGGGACTCTTTCTGTATAACATTTAGATATGATGTCCTTCATGAAGCTGCAATAGTCCTTTCTGAACTGGTCGTCACTTGACAACCTTCGTCTCAACCTCCTAAGGCGACTTAGGGCTAGTTCCTTGTTATTCGGCAGCTCCAAATTTTCATTTCGTAAAGGCAGTGGTTTCTCGTAATGGTCGTCTGCCAATTGATGGATTCTTTCACGCACTATTCTCAGAAAGTTTCGGTCTTCGACGGACAGGGGTTTCTCGTCGGCTTAAAGTTCGTTGAAGTCGAGAGTAAACATCTTGGACATATCGCTAGGGCTGATCATTTCTTTAACTTGTGTTTTGAAAGCAAAGTGGCACATCTTTCTGTTTGGCGTTGCTTGAACTTCACAGGTAAGGATCCAGTTACATGCAACGTCAATCCTGATTTCAGAATCTTCTTCCCTCGACGGTCTTATAGCACCCAAGGGCTGCTTTCGTTGCGTACGGATCATTTCCCTTTCCATGATTTACCTCCAGCGGCTTATTTGCGCGAGAGCAGTTGAGGCCAATCAGAAGTCCGACTCCTACGTCTTCGTTTAAGAGCTTGATCTGCACTGAAATCTTCTGAAGATGAGTCCAGATCAAAGCAGATTCAGGTCTTGGAATCTGACTCTTCCTTGCTGGTATAGAAGCTCTTGAGTAGCTTTTTTGCAGAGGAATTTCTACATCTTCGTTATAGCCACGTACAACTAGGCCTTCGATCCTCTGACTTTTAATAACCGTCTCTGTAAGGACTGTTGATAACTTCAGTTCAACCTCGGGTCCGTTGACGCCTAATCCTCTTAAAAGATTTTCCTTCACAAATCTAGAATCATATTGCTCGTCCAAAGGGGCTTAGGTAAGAAACTTCTTGCTGATATCCTTTCTGTGATGTGTCCTAACGGGAACTATTAGGGAATGCATGCAGGATGGGTTTATGTTCTTCATATCGGAAAGGATAACACGGTGCGAGGTTGTCTCTTTGGTATTTCTTGGACTATTTCTCTCGGTTTTGGTTCAACGGGAACGGGATCGCTGTAAAGGGAGATTGGGTGGAAGCCACTGCAGGTTTTGCAAACTAGTCTTCTTCTACAAATTCTTTTCATGTGTCCCCACTTCCGACAGCCTAAGCATAGCGGTGTATTTGTCTTTATCAAATCTCTTCTTTCGGCCAAAGACTCCATAAGGAACTGCTTGCGCACATCCAAGTCATGGGGTGCCTTGCACAGCGGGCAAAAGGGTAGCTTCAGACTTTTTTTCCTTCCTGCTGTGGGTGTTACTGTGAGCTACTACATGAGAATCAGTTGCGAAGGCGATGAACCAGGGGGGTTTTCTTCTATTAAAACCATTTGGCTTCCGTCTTTTATCAAAATCGTCCTTGGCGACTTCTTTCTGTGGTCTTACTGCTGTTACGGGATTGCAGGCAATTTAGACTCCCTTTGAAGGAAGCTACAGAACGTAGAGAACGGGGGATAACCCATTTCGTAGTCTGCAGTATAGTATGGATTGTCCCTCGCAAACGGACTGACTTCAAATTCAGGTGCAAACGGATTTAGTGATTTGGGGGTAGGGATCACCGGATTCTGTTTGGGAGAGGTGGAATTAATTTTCGAGGGAGTAGCTGCAGGCACCTTCCTTACCTCAGGAATACCATTGTTGCTAGAGGTTTCTCCGAAAGAGTTGTCCATAGATTCTATGTTCGTCTCCACAGTCGAATTGCCGACATTTGTAACCGTCGACGCCTGTGTTTTCAAATAATTTTGAAGAACGTTAGGTTTTGTCGATTTCATCCAGTAAGTCTTCTTTCCCGACAAAAACTTCGCTCTCGTCTTCTTCGTTTTTAGTCACAGCCTTTATTTCTGCTCTTGTAAGTGCCAATT